ATGCACTTTGTACAAACCATTTCCCATTCTCTTTTTAATGACTCCCGGTTCCCAACAATTTTTCCTTATGTATGAATTGATGACCATCTTGTTGGTCACGTTAAAAGTCCGAACTTCAGCATGTGAATTCAGTTTTGTGAAATAAAATTCGATAAAATTGTTAATGATGAGACGACGAATATCAAATGTTAAATTCACTTAGTATTGTTTGTTTGGATCTTCCCATCGATGTGTTTAGGACTGCAACTGGTCAGTCTCTAATTGGCATATGTGCATACTGTGCGTATTGCCTCGACATACCTTAATTCACAAGCATGGTAAGCAGAGATGGATAGTGGCTAGCAGTGGAATCCAGTTTGAAGCGCGTTTCGTCCTATTTGGGACTCGTCAGCTGGATGTACCTGCATCTCAGAGTTGATGTTCACTCTGGGACTCGAACACAGTACCCTCGCTTCAAACGCCATCACGTTATCCACTCGGCCACTGAGTCCTGATAGCCACTTGCTTGTGCGATGGGGTGAAGTTTGAATTCACTTAGTATTGTTTGTTTCGATCTTCCCATCGATGTATTTAGGACTGCAACTGGTCAGTCTTAGTGGCCGAGTGGATAACGCGATGGCGTTTGAAGCGAGGGTACTGTGTTCGAGTCCCAGAGTGAACATCAACTCTGAGATGCAGGTACATCCAGCTGACGAGTCCCAAATAGGACGAAACGTGCGTCCTGGATTCCACTGTAGCCACTATCCATCTCTGCTTACCATCAAATGTTAAGTTGAATGAGCTTATACGTTCAATATACTTATTAGATTAATCATCGAAATAGGATGGGTGAAAGAATACTGGACTTACAAATTCAATCTAATGTTTACTAAAAGATTATGTTATGTGTATAAAGTCATCTAAAATCGGGAAGAAACAATTAAGTGGAGTGAAGGTAGAGATGAAGAATAGCATGTTCGGAAGATATATATTGATGTCATGTCATTTCATACGACTATATTGAACAGGAATGTGAAGAATATGTTTCGAGAGATATTTGTTGACGTTGGATTGGCAACTAAAGAACAGTTGGTCACCAAGTGATCAATCAATTGTTATTACATCTCAGTCCTACAGGAGGTCGATCGCGGCCCGAATTGCTCAGTGGTAACTTCTCTGACTGTGAAGCTGGGTGACATGGGATCGAATCTGTCAGGGAGCATCAGTTCCCTCAATATTACAGGTACATCTTGCTGACGAGTGTCAAGTAGCAAGAAACCCGGGTCCAAAGTTTCCTGTTAACCACCTCCAACCACAATCTTTTCTCGACATAGTGCACTCAGGTCGAGCTACCTAGACTGGTGGCCACATTGAAACTAGATCGATAGCATTCGATCAGCACTAAGACGGTTTTGACACGCATGACATTGATCACCACCCAGTGATCACTCAATTGTAGTTAGCAATCAACCACAACAAGTCATTTGATACTTTCATTTTACGAATACCATCGTTGGTATGTATATTACGATGATAATGTTCTTTTTCAATCACATCAATGATTATAATCTAAATACAACTAATTCAGATATTCATTAACATGATTTAACTAGTCACAGCAACAAAAAGGTGCCTATCGAAAGGTATTTTGTAGGCGGGATAGATTTTGAGACATTAAGACCATGATCTGTAGTAGTGATTTTGCTGCCATTCAAAATTAACAGAAGTCATTCAAATACATAACTATATTACGTCATCCTATTTCTATGTATCTGAGACTGTCAATCAACATAATAAAATAATTCATGTATTTTAATTATTTGTGGTATAGTGAACGAATACTCACGTGGAGAAAACCAACGTTTTGATTGATGATAAACCACACAGTAATATAGTAAAATATTCAAATCATACATTTAGTAAATATTTTCATATTTTCTTTGCTTTGTCATCTACATCATTATCCCTTGATTTTTCCTTCACCTCATTTCAATCTTCTTCTGGCAGGTATTCCAATCTAATTACTGTTAGGTACTACTTGTATTTGTAAGCTTAATAAACACACACCACACTCATCCCCTCATTAAACGGTCGCTTCTTCAGTCGTACATCACACAGTGTCGCATTCCTCTTTGTCGCAGTATGTCTCGTTTCCTGTCGAAATATGGATTCCGCCGACACTCTGACCTTCATAGCTGTGGAGACAGCCGACCATGTAAATATGATGCCCGTCATCATACCATCCACACTACATGGATTAGGAGATATTCTAGTATTGCGAATGTCAGTTTTGAAATCCAATCGTTGTCCATCAATTACAATAAACGATAACTTTAATGATTTGTAACTGATTTACACAGAACCAAACATCACAATATAAACCAGTATTTGAGTAGTAAGATTCCATACATTTTGATCAACAGCGTTTTATGGGAGAGGACAAACCAGCTTCCAGCTGAAGAGGAAATTAGGAAAAGACGTTGGAAGTGGATCGGACATACATTAAGGAAATCACAAATGTGCATCACGACTCTGTCCCTAACTTGGAATCCGGAAGGGAAGCAGAAAAGTGGAAGGCCAAAGAACACTACGCCGGGAAATAGAAGCAGATATAAAAAGGATGAATAGCAACTGGAAAGAACTGGAAAGGAAGGCTCAGGACAGAGTTGGATGGAGAATGCTGGTGAGCGGCCTATGCTCCTCAACGAGGGGTAACAAGCGTAAGTAAATAAGTAATACATTTTGAAAAACGAAAGAATGAAATGAAGGTTCTAAATACATGAGTTCGCTTAACATTCATCCTTATGTCAATGTCAATTCAATTCAATAAACTAATGAATCAGGGATACGCTCAGACTTCTATCATGTTGATAATCATCAATGAATCAAGGCACGTAGTTGGCAACTTGTTTGATGTATCTTCAAACAATTCGATTTCACATGATTTCCTTTATCAACTTAAATGTAAAAATAGATTTTGAAAGCTTTTTTTCACTTTTAAGTCTATCCTTTCCACCGTCTTGTTTTCAATGACACCATTTGTTTTGACAGCTTGTTCTGAAATTTACTTCGTCATGTGATACATTCTTTTCGCCATCTTTTCGTATCAATATGGAAACTACCCTAAACAATATGAATTGAATGTTGATGTGCAAGCTATTGGAAACGGAGTATCTATGTGAAATGTGTATGATTCTTTTGATATTTGATGAATTAGACTCAGTTGATTTTTTTTCTGTCTACTTATTTTCACTCTCACTTTATTTATTGTAAACGAAAAATGAAGCAATATAGAAAAGTGATAAACCATTTGATGGTGGAAATTTCAAGTTCCATTCACAGTGTCTGAACGTTTCGGAGTTGATCGTCGATGAGATGATGGTAGAGAAATGTTCATGGATCTCATTGTAGATTAGAATAGATGTTTAGTATTTCTTGATTTTCAATGATTCTTTAAGAAATCAGTTTTTGAAATGAACTGTGATTGTGGAAATAGAAGATCAATTCCTTGACGAAATCACTTTTTTCGATCTAACTTGGATATGTAATTGAAATAGACACATTATTTGTATCAGATTGTACAGTTGTATTATAATATCGATGGTACAATAATGAACGGGTTGATGGTTTCATGTCTTAGAATATCTGTCTTTATATAGTCAAACGATAGGACTGAATCAAAACAACGGTCGATTCTTGAAAGTGCTGTTTCGAACAAATTTAGTAAATATTCATTTTATGGTTCCGTATTTGATGAGTGTTTGCATTTTGATATCCACACATCTTAGGTAACTTCCACAATCTACATTCCTTGGATCTTAAAATATTATCCTTAGACGGTGATTGTCGAAATTTAATTTTGCCATTTAGGATATTTTGTTTTTAATATTTCGGTTTAGAAATAACAACTGCCTGATATCAGGTTATCATTTAAAGCTGGTCACTCTCAGAGTACCGTTAATTACCATTTCCTGAGTGCGGTCGAATTGTAGTCATCAGTAGTGTAAATTGTTAAAAATGTTTGATAGATTACAGTCTTGAATATCAAACATAAGAAATCATCAACCATGAACAATGATTTCTTACACGTTGAACAAGTGAAAATTTGTCTGAACTTAGTGGTTGCGTAATTCTTCATGGAGTTCCTCCGGGGTTACCGCTGCCCGGGACCCTGGATAAAGGAGGAGGTTTGGTCATGGTGTTGGCTACCCAATCAGTAAGAAAACTAAATCGCTCAAATATCGCCAACCAGAAAAATCGTCTTGAACCCATTTGAATTAAGCCCTGGGTGTTTGAAGGCTTTCATTTAGTGGAGTTATGATGCCTCACTCAGCGGAAGGTATTTCTAACATCCAGAGAAACCAATAATTTAGATACATGAAATTTCTGTACAATGTGGGAGACTGGAAGAGCGCCATACAAACGACTGCAGGAATGAGAAGATACAGTCAGAAGGTACTTAGAATCAGTGAAACACAACAACTTCTAGCTTCTGGGAAGCTTATGTTTTTATTCCGGCCATGAAAAAGGAAATGCCACACATACACAAGTAGTTGCATCGATGCTAACCAAACATTCACCCAATATCATCAAATACTTTTTTAAAATAAAGAAATATGACATTACATTGAACGTCATACAATGCTATGCGCTTCCCAACGATTACAATGAATACACTTAAAATCGATTCCACGATAGGCAGCAGTCTAACAAGGGACTCGAACATTCTGATGGGAGGCCTGAATATCAATGTTGAAATGAAGAACACTAGACACGGAGATATCGTGGGGTAACATTGACTGACTTACAGAATGGAACGAAAATGGTGAGAAATTCACGAACCTATATGGTTTCAATAAAGTGTTCTTAGGCGGCAACATATTCTCACATAAGCGCATTCACAAAATCACATGGATTTCGCGTAGTCACATTGCACAAAACCAAATCGACCATATCTAGTTGAAACAACCTCTCTATTATGTTCCATTAAGATTTAGATTTGAAATAAGAATGACAAGAGATTCAATAATAATACTAATGGTGTATATTTGATTAAGATCAAATGACAATATGGAATCAGTTTTTCAAAATGGAATGATTCAAATTCATCTTTGACATTTTGTTGAATGTTCTAGTGTGTGTGTGTGTGTGACTATCTTCTTTCTTCGGATCTTGAGGAGTCATTTATGCCGATAAAGAATTACCATCTTCAAATTTACGTATTTTCATAATAGACATCACCAAATAGATCACTTGAATAATACCGAATATGAAACATAGATACATGATTACATTTAAATAATGTTGTGTATATTCACTTAACACTGTTGTACATCCCTTGAATAAGATAAGAAAATGTTTAAATACAATGGGAATGATAACTGAAAATGTTTATATTACAGTAAATGTAAATGGATCATTTTGAAAATGTGAAACATTGTGAAGGTTCTTACATCGTGAACGATTCAGAACTGTGTTGTATTAGATAAGAGTCTATTGTTGTGTTTGTTGAAGAAGTGTCAGTAATGACAACAGATACTTCAATCTCGAGAGGGAGGATCGTGGATGCACACCACTGAGGAATCACGCAATAGGATGAAACGATCATCTGGTGCTTTCAGGTTTTCCATGGTGGTCTAGTTTCTATTGATTCATAATCTAAACTATGAAAAACTCAATGGTTTTAATAATTGTAGTTGCCTAGAAGAATAGCATTATGTGATCAATCCTACATCGAGGATACCTTAGCAACATGTTGACAAATGTTTCCTAGATATTCCATCCCAAAGTTTATTTATCCGAAATAAGCCATTTTTATGACCTTATTGAACTCTATTAAAATATCAGCTACATTATGGTACATATATTCTATGTCGTGACCAGCTGATGGGAACCTAATTAAATAAAATGAGGTTGCGAGGTATGACTTCGAAGTTAGCTTGTTCGTTATACCGTTACCGTCTTACGCAAATAGGCCTCCAGTCATTCGACATAGATCATCAACGTTGATGGTCTACATTTTGAGCAAGTGATGGTAACCTAATGAAATAAAATGAATTCATATCATTCTGCATCGATCTTCGTTCTTGCTCTCTTTAAGATAATGAAGGGAAATATGTTTATGAACGAAGAAAATTATTCCACATGAGAGTTTACCCAACTTGCTCCGAGTGAGTGAGTTGGAAGTTTATTATTTCATATGAAAAAAGTAAGTTAATTGGTTAAAACATTGCGAAATATCGACTTACTTTGGAAAATACGATTGTATTGTATTTACATGAAGAAGGTATTTGTGCTTTCTTATTATGAGCTGTATAGTCTTTGGACGATGTTGATCCACAGCAGTGAAACTATAAACAACAGATCATCAGAGTTTCGAGTTTGATTATAAATTACACTCTTTTGTAGTTTGTCAAGCTCCATTTGATAATCAGTTTGTGTCGTATATTCTTTAACAGCAGCACTTAGTGAGCTATTAGCTAACTTGGGGAACTACAAACATATGAAGATTAGTGTGGCAGGATCAATTAAGTTGAATAAATGTGAACCAAACCTCGTCTTCCGCTACAGCTAATTTCATTCCCATACCAATCCACATACAAGTCACAACAATCAAAACAAAAATGTTCTAAACAGAGGTATAAGTGAAATACGTTTGTTCACATTACCAAATATATGATGATTTTCCGTTGTTTCAAGTATCCATAAATTCCAACACATGATCCTAATACACCAAGACCTCCTGAGATACAGACAACTATGAAGATTATTGGTTTTGCACTGTGTAGAATAGAACTGAATTGATTTATTGTGATTTCTGGTTGAATACCGAGTGCCAACAGAACAATACTGAATGCCTATATTATATAAGTAAGATAGAATGAACCATATGAGGAGTATACATGTAATGATACTTACTATAAAACTACAATTGCATAGGATAAATAGTTTAGTCCAAGATTCACTTGACAATAACATTTTCAATATTGTTCACTAAGACGATCCTGTCTATGATATTCGATGTTCGATGTTAGTACTGGTAATAGATGTGGGTGAATCAATCCTTCAATCTGAAGTCAAGTTCTAAAATGAAGTAGGATCCATGTTCTTTAATTTATTCATTGTACTGTGCATATTGTAATAGAAATTCATGCACAAACAAAGTTGACTTATATGATACCATACACTAATGAATCAAATCATCATCATCATCACCATGGTTTAGCTTGATATGACAATCAAATTCAATAGTAGTGTAAATCTTGTCATTCTAAATAGTTACAACTGTTTGTGTGTATGTTTATGCATTACTTACTTACTTACTTACTTACTTACTTACTTACTTACTTACTTACTTACTTACTTACTTACTTACTTACTTACTTACGCCTGTTACCCCTATGTTTATGCATTACCTAGTGATAATTGTTATAGTCACATTTGAATTTACACAATCGAGTCATGGTTATTAAAAGTAATTATGGTGCCTGTAAAAATTATGTGAAAATGACTTAGACATAATATTGATTAACAATATGAGAAGAATGAACAAAAATTAGATAGAACTAGATAGGAAGGCCCAGGACAGAGTGGTTTGGAGAATGCTCGTCGGCGGTGTATTCTCCATTTGCAGTAACAGAAGTAAATAAGTAAGTAAGTTAGTTAGTATTTATTAATGAACAATATTTGTAGGAATATCATTGATTGGAAATTGAGTATTTCCAACTTTCCACCCATTAAGCTTACTATTCATATACGTTATACAGTGATTACTTGAAAATTATCAGTGGTTTAATGCTCAGTAGGTTCAATAATAATTCAGGAGATGGTTGTGTGGAGATTTTAGTAATTCTCTAGAGTTGAGATCATAAGTCAATTGAAGTGCACTACTGAAGAGTTCCACAATAGGACGAAACGGCCGACCAATGCTTTCATGTTTTCCATGGTGGTCTAGCTTTAATTGATTCATGATCCCAATAATAATTCCTCAATTATGACAGATAACTGTTTTTTCCAAAATATGAGGACTGACTTCAAAATGAAGACGGATGATTGACCAAGATAACGTTGATAAACACACGTTATGAAGGCACGTAACAATTATTTTAGAGATTTGTGAATGCGGCAGTTAACTGAGAGTGGACAAAATGAGAATCATATGGAGCACGTGTATTCCATGAACGAGGATCAATGTAATTTAGAAATGCTATAAAAGGAAATACAATAACGACTTGATCATCGTTTTATACTCAATAAAAATGATTGTACAGATTGCAAGAAATTACGATATATATATATGAATAATGATAAAACTCTTCACAGCAGAATTTGTACTGAAGATGTCGTTCAGAAGGACGATGAATGCTCCACGACCAAACCATCCAGCTTAGAGAAGAAACCAACATCAAAATCACCCACCTGAGCTACAAATCTTCTCCATTATCTCAAAAAGTAATATTGAATGTTAAACGTATGATCGGATTCACTAACAGTTTACTTTAGGATGTAGAAAACGTCCTTTGAAGCATATATCAAGCATGAAGTGGTTATTCGAAGGGGAATTTTTCAGTGATTTCGTTCTCAATGATTCGAGACGATTCTGCTAGATTCCTGTTTGATAACTCAGATGATAATACTACTGAAGCAACAGAAAGATGTATTAGAAGAATTTAGATGATCTTTTGAAGAGGAATTGAATTATTATTCAAACATATGATAAACCAAGACCTCGAGGATCCAAGTTCAATTATTTAAATTGACTACCAAAACTACACAAATCTGATTTTTCTGTAAGACCTATCCCATCGACGCTCAATTTTCCATCTGAAGGGTTTCTTGTGGAGATTTGGTATTTTCATAGTTGAAAGTGTGAGTCAATTGAAGCTAGACCACCAAGAAAACCTGAAAGCGCTGGATGGTCGTTTCGTTATATTGCGCGACTCCTCAGCATTGCGCATCTACGATGAAGAGTCAATCCTGATGCTTTTGACACGTTTTTACTAACTTTGGGGGATTTTAAACATAAATATTCATAAAGTGGTCCATTCTGAAGTTTCTCATTAGCACTTTGTTTTTTATGACCATGCAGTCTATTGCTTATGAATAATCTTGGATCAAAAATGTGTGAGACATCCTATGTAGGTAATTCTTCACAGAAATAATTGAAATAATTCATCCACAATGAAGTGGTTAATGAAGAAGGAATATCATTTAGATTATCAGTAAGCATAATCCGAGTGAAGTATAGTCACATGAAGGCTGTTGAAAATGAAAATGAGAACTGACGTTTTAGAAGTGACTTTCATTCATCGTTAACTATCTTTAGTCGTGTTATTTCTGAAGCTGATGTTCATGTAAATTAGTTTACTTATCACAGTGGCTACAGATTCGTTGAATCCATTTTTATATCCTTATCTACCAATCGTTCTGGATATTCATTTTCTATGCAAATGTTTCATATGATAGGTAATTATTTTTCGATAGAACTGGGGATACGAATGTTTATCTTCACTACTATGAATAACTTTCTTCATAACTACACGTATGAGTACTGTTGTAATGTCGTGCTTCGCTAATCGTTCACCTAGATAACCGTCATAATACAAATCTTAGCGGTGCGTAAAATCAGAAGGCAAAGAGAAGCGGCAACTACAGTTTTATTGACAAATGACGCAGGCCAGAAAGTTATAAACACATGAGTAAATATCAGCGAGCGAAACAAGAATAACGCGTATTGGAGATGGCGGATAAGCCAACTCACTTCAACCAAGCATTAGTCAATATTTATAGTCAGACAAGAATAAGTTACAGACATGTGATGAATAGGACAAGAAAAGTACACACACCTAGGATCATATAAAAATGGTCAGGGTTAAGAAGTGAATAATTAACAAGGTGAAAACATGACGCATGATGGATAGATGAATTGGCTTATCCAGAAGTTAGAATAAGGCATATGGGCTTAACATATAAATCGATACTACACTGTAATAAACTTTCAACGTCAAACATGAAATTCACCTATCGACTTCTATTGCACAATGTATTTCATTTCTAGCGATTCGCAAAGTATAATCTAACCAAATTATCCACCATTCATTTTCATAAATCTTTCTGATAATCTTTGCACTGTATAGTATGTTATATACATGATTGAATGTAGGGATTTTGTTGGTACGTGGGCAACACCATGATGATACGACCAGTATTCTAGTTTGACAACTATTAACCAGTAACAGCTTCTATATTCGAATCGTCACTCAGTTGGTTAAGGTCAGAAGTCAGATGCGAAGGGGTAGGAAAGATATATTTGATGAGCTAACAATATATCGAGAAGCGGTTTTTCTAATCTGGCTGGTGAACGTAGGAGCTGGCCCCCACGCTAAGTCGTAACGTGACCTCGTGAGGATGCATAACCGAAAGCCTTCAGTTAAACAAGTCCACTTAAAACAATGTGGTCAGCATCCAATGTCGAACACTTAAAGAGCTATTGATTTTGGGGAATTACTTACAGCTAAAACCTATTCCGAAGGTTTTCAGCAGCGTCGTTGTCGTTTCCGGTATACCTTTTATGTATAGTATACCATACCATATGGTATACCATACATAAAAATGTTATGTACATGAATTTCAAAGTGTTTACACATTGTTTCTGAAGAGAGTTGACAGAAATGTAAACATCTCAAACAATGTGGTGGTTTATACTGCCATGGTTCAGTATGTTGAGTAACATAACCTTAGAGAAACAACACTGTGAATGTGGGACTTGGTAGTCTCAGCTAAATTGAGCATGGAGTAGAGATTTCATTATATGAAATATATTGTTTATAATATTCCTATGAGTAGAAAAGTGTATTACCGATGTTTTGTGACTTAGTGTAAACCACTTGTTCAGAGTAAATATGTAGTCGATTGTCTGTTTACCTTTAAAGAACTGACCTATATTAGGTCATGAAACTTAGGAAATACAACTTTAATGAATTACATACAACAAATAAATACAACTTTCTCATCATGAGTATATCACAAAGTTTATTACAATGTGGAATAATCCTCTAACAAAATACCCTTGGTTACAATACATTTAGTATTGTTTGTTTGAACCATCCCATCGATGTGTTAGGACTGCAACTGATCAGTCTCACATTGGCATATGTGCATACTGTGCGTATTGCCTCGATAAAGCCTTAATTCACAAGCATTATAAACAAATACTAAATGAATTTAAACTTCACCACATCGTACAAGCAAGTGTCTATCAGGACTCAGTAGCTAAGTGGATAACGCGATAGCGTTTGAAGCGAAAGATACTGAGTTCGAGTCCCAGAGTGAACATCAACTCAGATGCAGGTACATCCAGCTGAAGAGTACCGAATAGGACGAAACGCGCGTCGTGGATTCCACTTCCAGACACTATCCATTTTCGCTTACTACCCTTGGTTGTTTCAGATTCATCATTGAGATAACGATAATTTGATACCTCTGTTATGATAACTTAAATCAACTGATTCACTTCATTTCAACACTCAGATACATGAGAATGCTCATATAAAATATAAAAATAGAAAAGACTTGTCTAGTTAGTAGTATATGTACACACACAAAAGTAAACGCCAATAAATTCACATAGCAACAGTACATTTTTTGTTGTGTAGGTTGAATATGATCAATTCATTTATCCATTCAATAAACGATGAAGCATCATTTTGATTGACAACAAAGAAAAGAGATAAAAGTGGGTGCAATGTGCATGAATCCAGTTATAGATAAACATTACACACGACAACTATTTACTACATTGTTGTATCTCAGTTGGAATGAGGATAATTAGACGCATATTTTGTATTTAAAAAAATCATACATCATGCATCACAGCATTAAGAAATTTAAATCTAAATCAATATCGTGTACTATTGTTTGTTAGTAATGACTGATGTTTCTGTATCCCTCTTGATTTGCTCATAGTCATTCTTATCCATCGAATCGAGGTATTTGGTGGAGTTCGAGTTATCAATGGAATCGAATCACAGAAGGTATTTGAAGAATACAGTGAAATTTTATTAGGAGCAAAACCAGTCATCTCTCTGAAAGTTTGTATAACAGAAGATATTGCTATGTTAGCTTCACTGGTTAGAACTATGGAGTCATTGGAAAAATATCATATATCTGGTAACTAATACATTAATTTTGAATGAATATGATCTGTTTTTAGTGATGCTTGTATGTAGCATCGGTTAAGTGCTCTGGCGCAAAACTGGTAGGTCCT